AATGAAAAATGAGACTTGGAACTTAGTTCCTACACCTGCAGGTAAGTCCATAGTTGACTGTAAATGGATATTTACTGTTAAGGAGAGAAATGATGAGAAAATGCCTATAAGATTTAAGGCTAGACTTGTAGCTAAGGGGTTTACGCAAAAAAAGGGCATAGATTATAATGAAATATTCTCCCCGGTAGTTAAGTACACTACTATTAGAGTTATGCTTGCTCTTGTGACACATTATAATCTTGAACTGGAACAAATGGATGTAAAAATGGCCTTCTTGTATGGTGACCTTGATGAAGTGATATATATGGAACAACACATGGTTTTGTTGATGAATCTAAACCTGAACATGTTTGCTTGTTAAAAAGATCCCTGTACGGTTTAAAGCAATCTCCAAGACAATGGTATTTACGATTTGATAACTTCATATCCACTGTTGGTTTTACAAGAAGTAAATTCGATCATTGTCTTTACTTTAAGTATGGTGAAGAAAATGAAATTATTGCTTTTATACTCTTATATGTTGATGATATATTATTGATAGGGCATAACATGCATGTGGTCAATAACATTAAAGGATCTTTAGGAAAAGAATTCGAAATGAAAGACCTTGGCCATGCTAAAAGAATTTTGGAGATGGAAATAACCAGAAATAGGAGTAATAAAACATTGTGCCTAAAACAAACGGGTTACATTGCTAAAATGTTAGTTAGATTTGCAATGAATAATGCAAAATCTGTTACTCTTCCCTTAGTCGTCCATTTTAAACTAAGTAAGGACCAATATCCAGTAAGTGAATCTGAGATTAAACAAATGGAAAAGATACCCTATGCTAATGCAGTAGGATCAGTCATGTATACCATGGTTTGCACTAGACCTGATATGACTCCTTCCATTAGCACACTTAGCAGATTCATGGCTAACCCTGGACCTGAACATTGGATTGCTTTAAAATTGTTATTGAGGTATTTGAAAGGTTCATCACACTTAGGCTTAGCTTTTAGTGCTTGCAAGGAGGGTTTGGTTATTAAGGGTTTTGTTGATTCTGACTTTACTAAAAATAAGGACAATAGAAAATCAACCACTGCCTATATGTTTACTTTGTGTGGAACTTGTATATGTTGGAAATCACAACTCCAACCAATTGTAACTTTATCTACAACTGAAGTAGAATATGTGGCTGCTATTGAGGTAATCAAAGAAGTCTTGTGGCTTAAAGGTTTACTTTCTGAAATAAATGAATGGAGCAGCCCTGTTGTACTATATTCAGACAGTCAGAGTACAATACACCTGTGTAAAAATCCAGTTTATCATGAAAGAACTAAACACATTATTTTAAAATTGCATTTTATTAGAGATATTTTCTCTAAAAAAAATTTGTTCCACGAGAAAATACTACTGAATTTAATCCTACATACATGGGGACAAAGGTATTATCTTCAAACAAGTTTAAAACTTGTTTGCAAATATTAAATGTTGATACTCGGTAATTTCTGTGGTGTTTGCAGGGTGTATACTTGGTGCTTGCTGGCAATACTGGGAAGCTTATGTGTTTCAATTTTTTTATGAGTAGTTGCAGAATGTGTTAACTAGATTCTTGTATTACCACTGGCATCAAGGTGGAGAATTGTTGGGCTGTGATGCCAGTCTTGGTCCAACAATTTATTAGGCAATGATGATATTGGCCTTCAGCCTAGATACTGCACTAATAACCTTGCCCAATAACATTATCTGAGATAGCTCACTTACCATGACCCGAATTCAACCCAATAGTGTGAGAGTTGCTCTGGACCGTTGGATTAAGATTCAGATCTACGGTTGTTTTGTTTTACTATAAATACAAGTTTTCTAACCCTAATTGAAGTGACTTTCATTTTCTCTTTCTCCTTCAGCCAATTTTGGAACCTTCTGGGTTCCTATTTTTCGTTTGTTCTTCTTCTCTTAATGAGTTGATCTTTCTCTCTTTGTGAGATAAAATCTGTGCGTTTTCTCTGCGTGAGTAAACTGAGATCTGTGTTGAGAGTCCAAAATACTGTCCATTGAAGCAACCCATATTGGTTCTTTGTGAGGGTTATGGTTCGAGTTAGGGCCTCTTATGATGATACAGAAGGGTACAAGGATCTGAGCCTAAATCCTTTACCATCTTTGGTGTCCGGTGATAGTTTTGTAAAGTTTCAGCAAGTGTAATCTCAGATTTGTTATTTTCTTTAAAGAGTTTTGTATAACAAATTCCAAGTTCTCAATAATAAGAATCCTATCAAATTTAGTGGAGGGACTATCTTATACTATCGATAGTGCATTAAATGGGATACACACCAATCACTACATAAATTTGTTATTTCTCATATTAGCTCAATGGATAATGTTTGTCACGTGCTACTCTTTTAGGCTTCAATATTAAATTATCTATAAATCAAACCACACATCTATTGAATTTTTATCCATTTGACATATCTTCTTTAACGTTAGAAATTAAATGCATGATGTTTGTTTCGCGCGGGTTAGTCACTAACAATTAAAAGGGATCAGACGATTGTGTAAGGGACAAACCTCTTGAGACAGTCCCAAAAAGGGGTGTTCTTTTATTGGCGATGACGTTACAATTGGAAATCAAAAACAAAATGCCTCCAAGGGACGCAAGCACACGAGTTACTGAAAAAAGTGTTTAAGTCTAAACTAAGGAAATTAAAATTACATGTTCTCTATTTGAGAGTTTTTTATTCGGTCTTTTACTCTATATTTTTTCTCCCTTTTATACTCCATAGATGATCTTTTTTGTAATCAACCGCCTAAAAACTGCTTGATCGTTTTGCAACTTCCCACTTTCCTCGGCCAGCTTGTCATGAAAACTGCCTTTTTTTTTTAACTGCTGCCATTACTCTTCGTCGTTCAACCGTTTTCGATTGAATTCCTTGAATCGTGAAACGTGATAGGGCTGCTTTAATAACTGCTTTGATAACTGCACTTCTTGATAACCATAACGCTTTATATTTGTTAAGACCTTGGGCGACTTGAAGGTTTGGGCTAGAATAGAGTAACAGCTCTGGGCGACTGCATGGCACTCCATTCGCTCAGATTCTGGGCGACTTGCAAATTTGGGTGATGGCGTTACCGTGTTCTTGGGCCTCCCTATTTGGGCCTTCATCTTGAATTGTTTGATTGGGTTTCGTTCTTTGGGCTATCTGATTTGGGGATCCTCCAATTGGGCTTCATTCCTTGAGCCGTTCGATTTGGGCTGAATTTTTATGTGTCAACAATGTTCAATTATGAATTACCTAAGTCTAGTGAAATCCCTAGAGGCTAGAACCCATCTGTTCTTTGTTACTTCTTTGCTGGAATAAATATTTTAACACAACAAAATCATCTTGTATATCCATCTATTCATATAGTCAATCATTTACTCCTTCAATTATTGTCATTAAGGACCGAGCTAGAAAATGATGTTAGAATAAGTTTATATTTAAAAAATTTCGAATGAATTCGCACCACAGGAAGCTAAACTCATGACATTCACAACAAAAAGTGTACGACACTTAATGAAATAAAAGAAATATTAATATATCACTCTAAAATGTCTCATTAGATCTTTCTGTATTTTTTTTAACAAATAGAAAATCGGCGCTCGCCTTAAAAAATATAAACTTATTGAATCATAGTAAAAATAAGTAAAAAAATACATATCCACCAATGGAAAACTAAGAAATTATTTAATAAATACTATTCTAAATAACTTTGTCGATCAATCTTTTCAAACAACTGAAAGCTTTGGTCCAAGCACATAGTCAAAAATATATCAATATATGTTATTGTCTCAAAATATTATTTTGGCGTTGATAGAATCTTATATTTTATTTCATTTTATAGTGAGTGAGAAATCAGATCCAAAGTGAGAAAAATCAACTAAGAGGATTCAAAGAGATTAGATTTAATTCATATCAATATTCGGCTCAATTTCAAGAATATATTTATATATAGATTAATATATAAATAAATAAATTCTAAAAAATATTCCTTTTACTAACAAGATCAAATTTAGAGCAAATTATTTATCTTGATCATAACATCTATTTCATAGTTTAAATAAGTAATTTTTTCTTCTAATTATGAATAAGTAATATACGTAGAAATAAAAAAATTAATTACTTTTAAACTTAAAATATGTAGCCCCTATTTGATGAGGATTAAAATCAAATTTTTAATAAATTTCAATAAAAGTTAATGAAATGTGGGTTGAAAAGTCGTGAGTTTCATAAGATATGCGGTTAAAATTAATTATTGACTTTGACTTAAATTCAAATTCAAATTTTAATCTCTGCCAAACAAGGATTTAGTGTCTCTAATTATTAAAATAATTAAATTTTAGATTTGATCAATACAAATTATCTATTATAAAATTTGCTTAATTATTATAAATCAATTTAGTCAAACATCCATTAAATAAAATGCATAATTTGAAAATAAGATAATGTGAAAAATAGTATTTAATAATTTTAAAATTGGACTTGAGTTGGATTACAAATTAGAGTTGAGCTACACAAATATTTGGATCAAAAGTATACAATTTATTCTTAATTTTTCATATGCGGTGGGGGTGGGGCTAGGCTATAAACCAATCTCTTGTCAAATATTCTTGCTACATTGAAATATGTACAAACCTAGTCTTGACATACAAAAATTGTTCTATCTTCACTATGAAATATTCACACGTTTCCTACGTGCTTACTTTTTAGAAGGCAAAATTGTACTTCCACTACTCAACCTCATTTCTCATGATAGATAGACAATATCGTCTATCGCGAGTGGGTTTGCACCTAGTTCAATGCGTTGGTAATCATTTTGCTATATGAAACCGTCACTCTGAAGTGGGTTTGAACCTAGTTCAATAGGTTGGTGATTATTTTGCTCTATTCTCAAAGTTAGAGATTAACTTGCTATTATCCATAGTTTCGGGACCATTGGTGCAATTATTTCCTAATTTGGAAGAAAATCAAGGGAAAAAAGAAAGGAAGAATGACTGAATGAGAAACTTACCCCCTACACCTAGCCCCAACCCAACAGCTTTTTCCTTCAACAAAAGCCCAGCTCCCCTTTTTCTGTTAAGAAGTGCTAATCGAACAATGGAGAGCAGTAGCGGAGCCACCGACTACAACTGGAGTGAGACCGTTGAGGACCTTGTCCATGGTGGAGAAATTGATAAAGCCATTTCATTTCTTGAATCTAAAGTCTCCAGTCTTGAAAAAGAGAAACTAAATAATGAGGACACAAATTTATCCTCTCTCAAAGATGATCAGTTGTCCACCGTCTTTCTAGAGTTGTCCAAGCTCTATTCTACTAAAGGCCTCTCTCTCAAAGCCGACCAAGCCCTGTCTCGTGCGCTCCAAATTAAACATAAAACAGGGTATGTCCTATTATCTTCTTTCTTTCATTCCTTTTTTTTCCCCTTCTTCTTCTAGTTTTTTTTTTTTTATTATTTTTTCATGAAACATAGAAAAAATGAAGCCTTTTAGACTTTTAGTTCAAGATTTTATTTGAAGTATTAAAGTAATAACAGCGAGATAAATATATATATATATTTTTAATTTGGATTCGTATATCTGATGTAGAACAAGGTGCACGTGTTGTATTTATTTTCTGTTGTTTTCGTGTTTAGAATTTTGTTTCATTCTGTCATGTTGATTTTTCGCTGTTATTAATGGAAATTAAATTATTAAATTACTATATGATTCCAGAATGATTTTACAAATTAATTTCCTTCAATTGATACGTTATAGTGTAAAAATTGAGTTGGGAAAATTAGTATTTGGCAATGAGAGTGCCAATTGGATTTTGTTGTTAAGGTTTTACTATTTCGTGGAAAAGAAACAACGCAATATCTTCTCTTTAAATCCCAAAATTTTAGTGAATTGGGAAGCATATGATTTCTGTTCTTATGAGCTCTAGTTCGCTTAATGCCACTAATTTTTTGTAGTTAATCATTGGTTGTGAATATTCAGGGATTTACACACTGTGAAGGAATCAACCCATCAACGATATTCAGAAGCTCACAGTTTGCAAAATGAGGTTTCAATTCCTGATGGAATTGCAGAAGGTGATCCCTTTTTATCTTTTCATGGTTTGGTTTCTTTAAGAACCGTCCATTTATATATAATTAAGATAGAATTTTCTGTGTATTAGTTATACACTTATACTCATTTTGTTAACCTCATTTACTGGGTTTGTTGTAGTGGCTTTTTCATTGTGCATTATTGCCTGAGAACTAATTTGCCTTGTGTTTTGAAGGTCGTTGTGCGGATTCTTTAGACTTGAAGAATGATGGCTTGCCACAAGAGAGCTCTGGTGATGATGGTACACACATTTGTATATTAATTTGATATGACTTCACTAAGCTGGCACTCATTAGTTGAATGCTGGTCTGAATGTTTTTGGGCAAACAAATGGAAATGTCAGTTTGATATTTTCTCATATTCTAATTTTAGTTAAGTTCAGACTATGTACTAAGTATCTTTCCATCTATCACGCAATATATCTCCATTCTTTGGGACCTCTATTCTACTTGCACTTCGAAATCACTTCCATGAGTTGAATGGAAGTCCTCCTGGATGTTCTGATTTGCTAATTGCTTGTCTACATGTCATATATGGGTTTGATCTTGTACCTCTAGAAGGAAGACATGTTGATTTGTGATCATGTCACCGTGTGGTTGACTAATACCGTGTCTTTTACGTTACTTTGTGAGCATCTTTCTGAAATGCAATAAATGACATAATCAGGTGTAGACGCATAGGATAAGTTACTCATACACCTGGCACTAGCCATTGGAAATAGTCTGGATATACATAAAACATTAGCAGATATATTTTCTGATCCATTGGAGTATAAATGAAGGTGGAAAGTATATTGAAATCCTAAACTAAATGAGTCTGATTCCTGAGATACAACAAAGATTTTAATTTGAAAGCCTGCATACAGAAGTCAACACTCTGCCTTGTTGAACTTTGCTTTCATGGATTTCTCTTTTGTCTTCACTGTTAAAGTACCTAATCTTTCCCTCTAGTACTATGATAGCAAGGTAGCAGTTGTGTTGGCCAGAGGATGAAGAGAGTAAGAGGGAGAGGTTTTTTTCTTTTCCTTTTTTTTTTTTTTGGGGGGGTGTGGGGTGGGGTTGGGGGGGATGACTTTCTGAGAGTTAATTCTTAGAGAAGTTGGATTGGCCTTTCCGCTTCTTCACATAAGGAAAGCCCTGTTACTGAATTTGTGGGGGAGCTTATTTTGGTAAAAAAAAAATACGCAATGCCACTTAATTTAGTCATGCAGACCAAGGATTGTTAAAGGAAAGAATTCATTGCCTTTTCCATTATAGACCATTCTAGCTGCCATTCATTCAATGGGAGTTGTGATTCCCACCAAGTACACTCTTGCTGCAGTTTTACCAAAAGAAATCGTCTTTCCACCATTCTCTGGAATTAATTAATTTTGATGGAGGGAACTAAAAATAATGGTGGGGCCACAAACTAGGTACTTTTAAGGAATGTGCATGTTGCAACTTTCATTTTATGGGCTTCTAGTAGGACGTTTTTTGAACATGGGGATGTATTTGAATTTTCCAATGATATGATTACTTTAGATCTTTCCTTAAATCTAGGGGTGGGAATTTTTTCCCAGAATTTCAGCTCTAGTTCTTCTATTAAATGGCTCAATTTTGGGACCATGCATCAAGAACTGACCGATTCTGATCCGATTCTCGGTGCTATCATAAAAATCAATAGTGCATTCAGTTCTCTCTTTTTGTCGGTGCATTGCACCAAGATACACTCTCTTTGAACACAAGATCTCAAAATCATGTCACGATAAAATTTCACTTTCCTTATGCTTCTTGTTTCCTTTGCAACAAAACTTTATAGGCAATCAAAATTTTAATCTAAATAATTTTATAAATGTGATACAATTTCATAGCTGTAATGCAATCCCAATAAAAAAATATATTTTAAATCAATATTTAGTAAGAACTCAAATTTTTCATTATTTCAAAGTTGCTGGTCATGAAGAATCAAGATCTTATCCTTGAGGATAGTGAAGATAACCAGGTTATAAATGTATTTTTTTTTATGAATTTTCTTAAAAATTAATTTTCGATCCAGATTTTACAAGCGATATTTAATAGTTTATTTTTTGCCTTATCAATTGATCTTGAGCCTTGGAGCTCGATTTTGTTTGTTTTCTTGTTTAATTGATTTTTTGTATTGTTAGATTACAAGAATGACAAGCAGTTTTATACTCTATTTTTTCTATTTTTAATCAATAAGTAGTTTCATACAATATTTTCATGATATTTTAATATAAGGAATCGGACTTGTTCGGTCCGATTCCATAGTTGGATATGAAATCAATAGTTCCATTTCTAAGAATCCCGTTGGTATTCAGTTTGATTGGTTCCCTTCAAAATCGGATCGAACCGGACCTTGCCAACACCTACTTAATTAAGCAATGTGCTTAATGGAATGGCAAAAAATTATCATGTAGCCAACCTAAATTTATTAGGAAAAAGGCTTAGTTTGATGTTTTTTATTTGAATCTGACTCATAGTTTGTACTCATATTGTCAAGCAAGATCATAATAATTCATAATATGTACATGAGTAAGGAGCTTACTTATGATATACATTGGAACTTTCTCTCTAAGTGTTTATGCAATAAATTTTATAAACAAGCTATCATAATTGGGTATTAGAAACACGATAATTTTGGCATATGGAACAATTTTAGTTCCTTCAAATTTACCAATTACCATCTATTACAGATTTTACTGATGAATATATTATATCAATTAATCCACTTACTTGCCAACTAGACTGTCTAGATGGAAAGCATTATTCTAAACTAGTAGGTAAAGCAAGTTTGTGCCATAATTTGCCTTCTTTCTCTGCCATTTTGAGTTGATTTCTTAATTTTAAGGGAAAATGTAATAGCTGCCTTGAAAATATGTTATCCACTCTTTACAAATGTTATTGACTCATTACGACATGGATAAATCAGGTAAATATATGGGCCTTCAAAAGTTTTAGCGAAGGAAATGTTCTTTCATGGATTTACTTTTTTCAATTAGCAGAAAAGATCATGGTATCTGTCATGACTGCTGAAAAGGTAATAAATTTCCAACTTCAAATGTATGATAATTGACTCCAGTTTATTTTTTCTAACAATCTTGTTTATTTGTTCATAAATATGAATTTCCAGTCCTTTCCGTCTTTCATTCAGCAGCACGAATGCTATGCTCTAGATTTCTGTGAGCTTCGCATGTCAGTAATGAATAGTTGACTCACTTGACTGTGTATAGTCTTATAATGTAATTCCTAAGTTCTCATCTACTCTATCGTTATATTGGCCCCTCATTTTTCCAGAATTATTATTTGTCGGATTTTCATCAAAAGTCATCGTGATCGCAGACTGGGAAGCTATTGCAGATCGTGCTCCCGATGAATTACTCTCCCCAAAATGTTTGCCGGAGATATCGAACCTCTCTCTGGATACTGTGCATAGCACCAAGCAACGTGGAAGGGGATCATTTTCATATAAGAAACATGGCTTGTACAGTGATTACGAGTCTGATCTACCTGTTATTGATGACTCGGAAGACAATTCCCAAGGCATGGAAGACAGTGCCCAAGGCACGGCTGATAACTTGGGAATAAGAAATTGTACGTCTGTGGGCTTCTCATTGATTTTAATTCAGAATTCAAATCTCATATCTATTATTTATTAATAAGCTTACCTTACCATATCTGTTTTTCGACTGCATGAAACCTAATATCCGTAGTCTTAGATCTAGAAGGTCATTTTTTATTGTATTTTTTAGTTTTTTTTATTCATTAGTGCATTTGTTTTGGGTTTATTTACTACAAACAAGTATATATGGTTTGAACTTGCTTCAGCATCCAAACAGGATAAAAAGTAAAACAGGGTTCATAATTGGTTTATGAACAGCAATTTGCACGATTCTAAACAAGCGTGATTTTAGTTCTTTTGGCAGTATGATAAAAACATTTTATAATGATAAAAATCTAGGCTCGGTTTCTGACTCTAATGCTTGTTACTGCAACCACATTAATGCGGCAAGTCACCTGCTTAAAAAGAACAATAGGAAAGGTCCGGTGTTGTTTCTGTCTTTGTGCTATTGTAATTTTAAAACTTAATATTATATACATGCAGGCTAGAAAAAATTGATAACACAAATGCATCTGGTTTTCAGGGATCTCATTGCTGCTTTAGGATTTGAGATTGAGAATTTACAAAGTAATGCAAGTTATTAGAGATTTTACAGGATCATATTTGATTTTTAGGTTCCTAAATTTGAAGGAGTTAGCATTCTCAAGTTGCATATCAACCTATCAAACTGCTTACATTTTTAACTTAATTTCATGATACTTGATATTAGTTTTCAGAAAGTCAACGGTAAAGGTAAATGAGAAAGGGAAAGCATTGGTGGTTAGTTTGAACCATGATCAGTTGTCAATGCTGCTAATTTTGATTGTAGTGGGAGTTCTGATGCAAATGATATCAGAATTCCTTTTGTCTAATTTGCCTGCATTTATTTTCTTTTCACATTTTTACGTACTTTTAGTTTCTTGTGCCTTTTATATATATATTCTACAACTTATTTGTGTTGAATCACCTCGTCTAGATACTGAAGCTGTTAAATGGTGAAGGAATTTTTTGATATTTATATTTTCACTCAATTGATTATGGAATGTTATAAGATATTGTTCTAGCTGACTTTCCTTTCTTCTTAAGATTCAGTGGAATATGGTACACGCCATGTTATTGTTCTGGCGGACTTTCCTCCAAGCACTAGGACAACTGACCTAGAGAACGTATTGGAGAAATTCAAAGATCGTGTCGTGATTCGATGGGTGAATGATGCTGTGGCACTGGCAGTGTTTAAAACACCATCAGTTGGTAATGATGTTTCCTAAATTTGCTGTTTTAGGAGTTTTATGATTTTGAATTTATCAAAGATTAGAAATTAAAAACTTTACAACTCTACAGAAGTCCAAAAAAAGAATTGTCAAGTTTTGCAGTGGATTCCACTGTTATCAAATACGTCATTCGCGTGAAGCTTTGGTATGTTGTGTTGTAACCTGATACGTATCTACAGATTGTTGAAGTGTATTGACCTCACCTATGTCTGATATAGTTGATTTCAACAAAGGGTCTTTTTCCACTATAGGTTTAAATGCTTCAGTGTCTGTCTATCCATCATTCAAAATTTTGTGAAGTTGGATGATCTTATGCGACTTAATTCAGATAAAAAAAATTTGCCAATATATCAACAATGGACATTTTAAACTACAGCAAGCAACCTTGCAAAGCAATATCAATTATAGGTTTCTAATTCTGTATTCTTTTCTACGTCATGGATTGTGCTTGTGATTAGGCGTATTTGCACGTTCCCCCCTCTTTATTTTTGGTAATCAATCTTATTCTCACAGAAAAAAGAAAAGTCTCTCAGTCTTCCTTGAATGAAATAGATTATAGGAAATCCTCAAGGCATGACATATTCTTTTATCCTGAGATACCCTCCTATTTACTCTATTGGTAAAAGCCTTATTGTTTTTTTATGAAGGAGGTAATCTTTTAAATTCTTCTGGTTCCTTCCTTTTCTCCCTTTTATTTCTTTCTCCTGCAGTCATCTCATTCAGAAGATTTTTCAATTATCTATAAGAAGGGTAGTTAGGTAAGTCTTTCATCATCAAATGAGTAGTCAGAGGTGGCATTTCGAATCCTGCTATCTTCTTCCGATAATCCCTCTCCTGGGGATGCTGTCCACTATATTAAATGTCTCGCACAAATTTATGGCGCATCTAACATTCAAATGGGAAAAAGGGTCTTTGTTTTGAGTTTTTACTTTAAGAAGATAACAAAATTTGTTCTGTGAAACAATTCTCTTTATTGCCATTATAAACCCAAATGATGTTCTATTATTGTATTACTCAAACTGCTAAGTTACAGTTGACATTAAGTTTACGTTAGTTGACTATTTTCTTTTTGTGATGTAGCGCTTGAGGCTAGTACCTCCATTTGTTTTCCATATACAGTACGTGTACTTGCAGAAGATGATGAACTTTTGAGCTTAATTCCACCAAAAGGTAAGAGTTATGCGTATTATTTTCTATCTTCAGAAACAATAATTAGAGAGGAGGATTAGTATGAAATTTTCCATCATTTCTTTCTAATACACCAACACCTCTCCTGTTTGAAAATTTTCAAAGACCTCCCTTCTTTCAATTTGGACTAACAGATTCCCCCTTTGACTCTATCAATGGCAAATTTTACTAAGAAATACAGGACGTAATACCCAAATACCCCTTATTTTTGTGCTTATTACATTTAAAAGATAAATTAGAGACATTATGTAATATATTTGTCCGATCCACCTCACCTTTTAATAAATTTGAAAAGTTATTTCAACTGAATCAATTTAAAAACTTAGAGAACAAAATTATTGAAAATCTAATAAATTTTAAAGGATCCTCTCTGCGGCCACTGACAAATTTAATTTAATTTATTTATTTTACATTTTTTTTTATATTCCTTAATTCGAATTATTTCATACCTTTTCAGTCAAATATTAAGTGTCGACATTTGGGATATTAAGACCTTATTTGATCTAATTTACTAATCTATTAGACAATAAATAGGGGGTATAGTTGATAGTTTCTAAACAACATGGAGTGTTAGTTATTAATTGGAAGAGACGGGGGGGAGTTAGTATAATTATCTCTTAAATGTATTTCCAGGATAAGAGAACCGGAAAAAAGAAACCTATTTGAACACTTGTCTTTACACTTTTGATTTCTTCTAACTTGTACTTCTACGGAAAATGTGATATGATCATCTAAATTATTATATGCAGCATGGTTGTTGAATCAGTAGTATCATGAATTTAATCATGTATAAGGTTGTGTAATAGGATACATGACGAAAAAGATTAAAAGTGTTGGTATGCACGCGAATGATGAATAATTATAGGACAATATACACAGTTTTAGGAGAAAAATTATAAGATGTAAAAATTCTGTAATGATTTTGATTCGTGGTTTGTCAATTGTCTGAGACTTAGGTCCTGTCAGGCAATGATCTTCTTTTTGTAGAGGAGCTTCAGGGCGGTCCCCTAATTTGCCAATAATAACTGAACATATATGATTAGGCGTAGTAGTTATCTGATTCTGTCTCTCATTTGCTTCTGCTTTGATTTTATTTCCCTATTCGTAATTCATTTTGTGACAAAGCAATAGTTGAAGAGTATGGTCTCACTCGACATAAGTCATCTCCTTATAGGAATATTCTCATTGTTCATCGTTGCATTGGAACATAGATAGATGTTGATGAACGTTCAACTTGTTCTGAACATTCCATCATTGGTGCTTAGAATATATGTAATTCCTTTTCAGATCTGGAGCCTCCTCGTCAAAGGCCTCGAACATCAGCAAGAACTGCCCAGAGAATGATTGCACAAGGAATGGGAATAAAGTTGCCTTCTACAGTTGGCTCGGCAGAATATAGAAAACAGGAGGATGCTCGGAAGAATCGGATAGTTTCAAGACAGAACATGAGGGATGATGCTTGGGGTGATGATGGAAACTAGAAGAAGGTGGTTTTATCTTGGATATTGTTTTTGTCTACTGGGATTTGTAACATTCATCTGATTTTGGTCATTTAAAGAAAAATGAAAATTGTGTAGATTGTGTTTGGAAACATCAATTTGCGTTATCATAACTTTTATCTTTTCATATAGAAATATTTGAAACATCTTATCCTGTTACATATAAAATATACTTGGAAACACATAAATAACGTTGTACACAACACACGCACACAAAGACGATGAACTGAAGTATCTGCTACGATAAAAAGCATTGCTTGCCATCGTTGGCCTCCTTGAACAATGTTGAAATTATCAAGTTCGACGGCTCTACGAGTGAGATTAGCTCCGACCCAACTCCTTTCTACGATATCTCATACCCGTTCACAGAACTCATTTTCATTCCTAACAAGAATGTCAACAGTTCGACCTCGTTCGACTTACTTTACCTATGGTGTATATTCGATAGTGCTAATTCTATTGACAATAGCTAGCAAGTGAAATTCATGTGCATCTTGAACAATAACCCTAAGAGCACATAAAATAAGGGTGTCGATAGGTCGACCTACTTCAACTTACTTTACCTATGGCATATATTGGCTAGAGCTAATTCTAATTTTACCACCAAGAGCAGTTAAATCACAAGAAATAAACACGAACACATAAAATTTATTTAGATTCATTTCAATGAAAGACTACTTCCTCTCTATCACTACAATAATTCACTATGATGAAAAGAAGTTTATAAGAGAATACGTGAGATTTATATAGGTCGATCACGTACTGACTCCACACAACGTCAATAATTAGATTTCACAATTTAATACTAAGTATTATGCCCTAATACTTATTATTAGTGTTTAAAATTACTCTATAGAATAGTGTGCGTAGAAAATAGTGAATTACAAGATTATTAGAGCCTGTTTGACAACTATTATTGTAGGAAAAACGAGTTATGAATAGTGATTTTTAAGAGAATGTGTGGTTAAAAAGTAGAGAAAGTTTTTAATATACGTATAAAATATTTTATTGTGTGAATGTGTAGTTAAAAATAATCATATATTAAATTATAAAATAAATTAAAGTGTGTCAAACAGGCACTAAGACTAAAGAAAACGTTACACGCCAAACACATTTTTGGAGAACTACGTGATGGCTGACTCGTCTTGGTTCAAATGTTGGTCATAATGGGTCTGCCCATGCATGGTTTGACCACCAAAAGTCTACCCACCAAATGCCTCCACCCCACCCCTAAATAGCCTACCAAAATGTGGTTGAGAGTCTTGAGACTCTGTAGCCGCCGTATGATAGTAGCTAGTGAGTGATTTTTCTATGTTTTCACTCTTTGGTTGTTTAAATTGTTTTTATTAAGAACAACTTTCAATGGGGAGGAAGAATTTTCATTTTGGTCAAGATTCAACTTTCAAAGTTGTTCAGTGATTTTCTTATCAATATATTTTTTATATCTCGCTGCGTCACATTTTCATAACAAATGAAAATATACCTATATGTAATGTGTCGGGTGTCAAAAATTATGTTAGCATCTTCCCCTTTGTTATAAGGATGTGATGTGCAAAGATGTCAAAAATATATTGATGAAACAGTTAACGAGACAACAATTTGATTTACTACGAAGTATTAACATTAGATAAATTGATTGCATCCTCTATTTGATCTTCGCGGAACAATATAGCTGAGACATGACAAGGGTGTCTAGCTAACTCTTATGATAAAGCGACTTTTTGGTGGACGATAAATTTCAAATACATACAAAATGTACAATAAATATAATACTATATATATAACGTGTTGGACACTTAAGTACTCTATACAAAGTGTGCATCCCTATTTATACTCGACTGACAATCATAAATAAAATATTTCTAATTATGTAATAGAAAAATTAAGAAATCAAAGCATGCGAATTTGTAGGTAAATCATACAAGTTGCAAACTAGAAATGGTCCATCATCAAACTATCAGGCCTCGGTCCCTATTCGTAATTCATTTTGTGACAAAGCAATAGTTGAAGAGTATGGTCTCACTCGACATAAGTCATCTCCTTATAGGAATATTCTCATTGTTCATCGTTGCATTGGAACATAGATAGATGTTGATGAACGTTCAACTTGTTCTGAACATTCCATCATTGGTGCTTAGAATATATGTAATTCCTTTTCAGATCTGGAGCCTCCTCGTCAAAGGCCTCGAACATCAGCAAGAACTGCCCAGAGAATGATTGCACAAGGAATGGGAATAAAGTTGCCTTCTACAGTTGGCTCGGCAGAATATAGAAAACAGGAGGATGCTCGGAAGAATCGGATAGTTTCGAGACAGAACATGAGGGATGATGCTTGGGGTGATGATGGAAACTAGAAGAAGGTGGTTTTATCTTGGATATTGTTTTTGTCTACTGGGATTTGTAACATTCATCTGATTTTGGTCATTTAAAGAAAAATGAAAATTGTGTAGATTGTGTTTGGAAACATCAATTTGCGTTATCATAACTTCTATCTTTTCATATAGAAATATTTGAAACATCTTATCCTGTTACATATAAAATATACTTGGAAACACATAAATAACGTTGTACACAACACACGCACACAAAGACGATGAACTGAAGTATCTGCTACGATAAAAAGCATTGCTTGCCATCGTTGGCCTCCTTGAACAATGTTGAAATTATCAAGTTCGACGGCTCTACGAGTGAGATTAGCTCCGACCCAACTCCTTTCTACGATAACTCATACTCGTTCAAAGAACTCATTTTCATTCCTAACAAGAATGTCAACAGTTCGACCTACTTTACCTATGGTGTATATTCGATAGTGCTAATTCTATTGACAATAGCTAGCGAGTGAAATTCATGTGCATCTTGAACAATAACCCTAAGAGCACATAATAAGGGTGTCGATAGGTCGACCTACTTCAAGTTACTTTACCTATGGCATATATTGGCTAGAGCTAATTCTAATTTTACCACCAAGAGCAGTTAAATCACAAGAAATAAACACAAGAACACATAAAATTTATTTAGATTCATTTCAATGAAAGACTACTTCCTCTCTGCCACTACAATAATTCACTATGATGAAAAGAAGTTTATAAGAGAATACGTGAGATTTATATAGGTCGATCACGTACTGACTCCACACAACGTCAATAATTAGATTTCACAATTTAATACTAAGTATTATGCCCTAATACTTATTATTAGTGTTTAAAATTACTCTATAGAATAGTGTGCGTAGAAAATAGTGAATTACAAGATTATTAGAGCCTGTTTGACAATTATTATTGTAGGAAAAACGAGTTATGAATAGTGATTTTTAAGAGAATGTGTGGTTAAAAAGTAGAGAAAGTTTTTAATATACGTATAAAATATTTTATTGTGTGAATGTGTAGTTAAAAATAATCATATATTAAATTATAAAATAAATTAAAGTGTGTCAAACAGGCACTAAGACTAAAGAAAACGTTACACGCCAAACACATTTTTGGAGAACTACGTGATGGCTGACTCGTCTTGGTTCAAATGTTGGTCATAATGGGTCTGCCCATGCATGGTTTGACCACCAAAAGTCTGCCCACCAAATGCCTCCACCCCACCCCTAAATAGCCTACCAAAATGTGGTTGAGAGTCTTGAGACTCTGTAGCCGCCGTATGATAGTAGCTAGTGAGTGATTTTTCTATGTTTTCACTCTTTGGTTGTTTAAATTGTTTTTATTAAGAACAACTTTCAATGGGGAGGAAGAATTTTCATTTTGGTCAAGATTCAACTTTCAAAGTTGTTCAGTGATTTTCTTATCAATATATTTTTTATATCTCGCTGCGTCACATTTTCATAACAAATGAAAATATACCTATATGTAATGTGTCGGGTGTCAAAAATTATGTTAGCATCTTCCCCTTTGTTATAAGGATGTGATGTGCAAAGATGTCAAAAATATATTGATGAAACAGTTAACGAGACAACAATTTGATTTACTACGAAGTATTAACATTAGATAAATTGATTGCATCCTCTATTTGATCTTCGCGGAACAATATAGCTGAGACATGACAAGGGTGTCTAGCTAACTCTTATGATAAAGCGACTTTTTGGTGGACGATAAATTTCAAATACATACAAAATGTACAATAAATATAATACTATATATATAACGTGTTGGACACTTAAGTACTCTATACAAAGTGTGCATCCCTATTTATACTCGACTGACAATCATAAATAAAATATTTCTAATTATGTAATAGAAAAATTAAGAAATCAAAGCATGCGAATTTGTAGGTAAATCATACAAGTTGCAAACTAGAAATGGTCCATCATCAAACTATCAGGCCTCGGGCCATCAACTTTGAAATGCAATTTACTGTTCTAGAAATTGAAATGGACGCCGGTCAACTCTTGAATGAATTAATTACTATAATATTCTTTTGTACAAAATAAGAAATTTCTATTGGGGCTACGTTCTTTTTTTTTTTTTTATATCCAGGTATCTTAACTTACACCAGACTAAATTCTGGACCTCCAAAACCCTTGCCTCTAGAACATTGAAGCGGGTAAATCGCGGGTTATGCCTCAACTGGATCATAGGTTCCCCCTATTGCCTGTATACTTCTGCACACAAGAGACCCTCCTCCACAGTGATTACTTCATACCAAATATTTGGCCGCAAGTTCTCATCAGGAATCGAACTCTCCACCTTGCTGCTGGAAGCAAGACAATATTGATTGATCCACCAGTTGAGCTGTGCTCCCGGGGGCGGGGCTACATTCTCTTCTTCTTTATCTTCTATGGTGTAAGTGTTACCCTGATAACTCGATGTATAATAATTTTTTTTTGTTAGTTTCGATGGAGTTAACTGAAATACTTTCAGCACCGTTAACAATTTGAGCAGGTTTTTTTATTGTTAAAAAAAAGGTTGAACCCCAATTTTAAGGGCCCCCACCGCCCCCACCCTAATAGTTTTATGAGGGAGGTAAATCGCGAGATGTGCCCCAACAGGTTAGGGAACAAAAGCTGCATGTACACTGCGCCTACAAGAAGTCCAATTCTATGTTTCAGGAATCGAACCCCCAAACTGCAGATGCCAGCAAGGCGTGAGGTATTTTTATTGTTGTTTCTATCACCAATTGTCCCTTTGGCGGTGCTTATGTTTTTGCTTCTACTTTTTTGTAGAAGATCTTTATGGGGAAACTAGTATAGGTCGGCTTCCTATAAATTCCAACAAGCCCTAACTAAGCATCATTGATTGAATCACTTTTTAACTTTTCAAAAATAATGTCAAACAGCTCTAAGCATCATTGATCAAGTTTCCACAAACTTCATTCCGATGGAAAAATTTACCAAACATGTCTACAAATTATATGAACTACATAAATTAGTACTAACAAGAATCCGTTTACAATATAATTTTACGAGGCTCTTTGCCTCGTTTATCAATTTCCATTCTCGTGTGTAAACAATTTAATGGAAAAATTAAGAAAATGGATAGGAAGAGATTAAATGAGGTGGAACACAAGAAGATTTTTTCCAAACCCTAGAATGCTGCATAAGGATTTCTTTAGTCCTCTCTTTTGTTTTTTGACTGCTGCCCACTTGAAGCACCAAACACAACTTTGTGACCACCCCAACTTGCAGCATTTCTTGAAGAACCCTAGAATTTGCTGAAAACTTTGAAATTGAAGAAATTATTCTCACTGCCTTATCAGTTGCCACATGAGACGCCCTAAGTATTTTCTTCGAAACAATGGCCAGTCCAGCTCCATGTTTCAACAGCTCGGCCCGGCCCTCGGCACAACCACATAGCTGATCCAATACTGTCAATATAAGCTCACAAGCCCTTCTTTCAGATGTGTCAAGAAGAAGCTCTATTAATGTTGAAAGTAAGCCCGATTCGACCGCTTTGACTCGGTTTCTTCCCCATGGACATAGCTCTACAAGGAGCTTCAATGCTGCCTTGGAAACTTGCTGCGAGATTTTGTCGTGGAAAATCTGGACAATTTCGATGAAAAATTCGGGCTTAACTCCAATCACCTGCACTGGATCAACCACATTTAAGGCAGATTTTAGTATCATTATTGCCTGAGCTCGAGATTGGTAATTCCCACACTTCAATACGTGCAATAAACCCTCCAAGAATTGATCATCATCATCTCCAAGAATTTTCCTCAAAACCGAATCTGAGATTTCTAGATGGTAAAGAATGTTCAATGCTTCATCACTCGCCTTGCTAATGTCAGAATCTTGATCACAATCCAATGCATCTTTCTTTATTATTGATGCTAAATATTCAACTGCACCAGCAGCCTCCAATTGCCTTCTACTGCTGTTATTGGATTGCGCAATGGATCTGAGTCTTTGCAGGCAATTGATCTGTGCTTGTGGTGATTTCTTGCCTTCGTCGAGGAGTTTAATGATGCAGGACTTATCGACCGCGGCCTTAGGAGTTGGTATCCTTTCAATGCCATAAGATGAATTGAGAGTGCACCAAGCCTGGATCAATCGCCGTAAAGTGTGGTTCGGAGTGAGATCTGTGTCTAATACTTGTTGGTTTGTTACTGGACATGTTGTGTTCTTGAATGAAAACAGCCATCTTTCAATGTTTTCCCTATCGTAGGATATCCCAGTCGAAACTGTGACTGGATCTTTCATCAGTTGCATGGAGATTGGGCATAGAAAATAAGAAGGAACTTCAACTTCATAACCCTCCATTGATGATCAAGTACGGCTTTATCGGATCAGAAGTGAAAATAACCAAATCCCAGCTCCCAAAAAACTACGATCAGGGATTTCAAATTAGTCTAACTTCTCAAAGAATCACGTAGAACAAAATTGAAGAATTGATGAAGGCTGTTGTGTGCAGAAGATAAGGTTATATACGCGAATAGGTATAAATAAGGGGAGAGCAAATGAGCACTGCAAGTTGTGTATCGCAAGGAGTTGGGAAGGAGAATTCAATACACGGAAATTCAAATGAGAGATTAATTAAAGAATAAAAGAGTTGATGATGGACTTTTCCAAGAACTCGGAAAAGTTCAAAAGATGACTTTTTTTAGTAATTTAATGCAATGAATATAGAAAAATTAATTAATGCATGTGGTTCAATGAAAGAAAGAGGAGAAGTCGGCGTTGCATTTTGTGCCACCATTTGACTTTGTATATATTAATTGATTAAGAAACATTATTCTGCATCTGTGCAGTGTCTGTACTTGTTATTCAAAGCTCAACGGCGTGAAATTAGATGCCGGATTGCCGACAACTGCTCATGGGACCTGCATTCATTTCAAGGCCCTTGCTTGAATTTAGGCTACTAAACCGGTGCATGGTTAATTCTTTTCTCAAGACATGTTAATTTGGCTTAACTTCAAAGTTTAAAAAATAAAAAAATCGATCACATTCATTCAACCAAGAATTCATCAATTATTTAACTCGAAATGGGCTCCTAAGTCTTACCTTTTTTCATATAGTGAGAAGTAACTTTAATTTATACTTATCTAGACTCTTAAATGAGGTCTTTGATCACATTTTGAAGTTGATTTTGTTGAATGTTAGCATGTTTTTATTACTTTTGGACGAAATCCTGATCTTAAGGTGCATTGACCAAAAAAAAAAAAAAAGAGATACAAAAAAAAATGGAGTGTTTTGAAGGAGATGGACGATGTGTTATAAGTTGATTTCGACTCATATTTCCATAAGGAAGGTTACAAACAAAAAACCTATCCCACAAATCAAAGGATAAGGAGGTGGCGAAAATATGAAATTTTGGTCCAATTATGAACAAATTTTATGTCCCTTATACGAGGCTTCCAATAGATATATATCATTAAGGTCTATGCAATTTTTACATGGTATTTAGGTATTTTCTTATATGTAACTTGTGTAGATATATAAGTTCGTAGAATTAGGTTTGACTCTACTCGATAGAGATTACCAAATAATTTCGAGAATCAATTTTCAACCCAATTTAATTTTGTCAATTACATTATTATTCAAATCAAAGTGGATTAAGTATTGGTGAAGTTGTTCATAGTGCTTAAATTCATCAAGTATGCTAAACAACTTTTCTCCTTGTTTTAGTTACAATTTTAGATAAAAACAAAAGAAGTTAAAAATAAGTGATTTCAAACAATCACCGTGAACCGACACTAAACTCATATTTATTTTATTTTTTGTCTTTGACATTCACTCGTAATTTTGTCAATAAAATGTGATACAAGCTATATTATCAGTTCCTTTTTCTTTTTTCTTTTTTTAACATGAACGTCAAATGATATCAATCGATTGCCTAATGTCAATATTCGATGAGGCGTTAATTCAAAAGTTACCTAGACATAAAGCATAAATTTAATTCAAAGGTTACTTAGACATAAACATAAATTTTAAGCAATGTAAATATCAAAGTATACGTCAATAAATAAGGTTTATAGTTTTATCCTTTAATACGGCAAAGATAGACAAATTCTTAGAGTAATATATTGAGTCAAATGGATGTCATACCCCAACAAAAAATCGATACTTTGAAATTATATATAAAATCAAAATATTCCATGAGAACATAGGACTATTGATGAGTGTAATCCACTCATTAAACTAAAGCTTCTAAATCGAGTTTTTTTTATGTGTTCTTGAGCATTTTTGAACGTTTTGATGTGTGTGTTAGTGTTGTTTTGCAGTTTGGACAATTCAAAAGAAAATATCACTATTGGGAGTCGGTGATGAGCAAAAATGATGATCAATGAAATGGAGTATGAATAAGCAAGTATTGAATAAGATTGGAGTGGGAAATAGGCTTGGAAAAACAAAGAGAAGAAAAAGCAAGCAGAAGCCTGGGCGCCACGGCGCCAAACTTGGGCGCCATGGCGCCCAAGGAAGAAAAAAAAAAAAGAAACAGAACAACGGGCGGCATGGCGCCCATGAAGAAAAAAAAGGAGCAGAGACCTGGGCGCCACGGCGCCAGACCCGGGCGCCATGGCGCCCGTTTCCAAAACAGTAAAATCCGGGTTTTTAAGTATTTTTTCGGCCCAAAAATCACACCCTAACCCTTGAGAACCCTTAGAAAATATAAATACTCAGCAAAAAGAACAGGAAAAGGGGGTGGACGGCTGAAGAAAGGAGGCAAGGATATACACTAATTGAGAGAAGATCGAAGGGATTTTGGAGAAGAAGAAGGAAAAAACTGAGAATCAAGCCACAAGATTGAGAAATAGAGCAACAACCTGAGTTCTTTCTTACCTTTTTCTTCTTCATGAAATTTAATTTGTGTTTTATCATGTTCTTCTTTTCAATCATGAACTAAGTTGTTAAATCTAGGGTTTGATGTAACCTATTTGAGACATGATTCAATTTCTTTATAGTATTTCTATTTAATTTTCCAGAATTGAATTTTTATTGTTCTTGCTTAATGCTTTCTTTTGCCTGATCACCAATTGAATGAATTGATGTTCTAAATTTGACGCTCGAGAGAGGGAAATTTAGGCGTGATCTAAGAACAATATAACCTAGGTTTGTAGGTTTCGAGAGAAAGTACGAATCTTTGAGGGTAAAACAAGGACCAAGTACGTGATAATCTTTATATATTTAATTCGGAATAGAGATATTGGGGTTAAAATATAGAGATATGTTCTATTTGACGCTCGAGAGGGGGAAATAGAATTAATTTAGGATTCTTGCCTATGAATTTGAGAAATATTTGATAGAAATATCTATAGGGATTGAGAATTATGTCAAGAATATGGTGAAATCACTCCCTAGACATTACGTAAAATTGAGTTAATCTTTAGAAATTGCCTCACTTTTATTACACTATTTAATTCATTGACGTTAATTTAGTATTCAAATATTAATTTAACACTCGATTGTCTAGATAAAGTAAACGCGGACACAATTATAGTACTCAGTGGAAGTCGAATATCAATCCTTGTGGGTTCGACACTTTTTAATTCTTTAATATACTACAAAACTTGACACCGTGCGCTTGCGGTAAAATCACGTTATATAAAATGCGTGGCAACTATATACCGTTGAGAAAAATGTACGAAAATCTGAATACTTAATGAACTCCAAGGCACAAAAAACGTTATCTTTTTAGAGATATTTCTCCCCTGTCCAACAAAGTCACAACTGTGGTATGATAGAAAATCTCTCTAGGATACAATGGAGATATTTGATTCAAATTGTGACTATTTGATCAAACCAAGAAGACACTCGAAAATAACTGATTAATGCCAAGAGAAAGAAAGAAGAATAATTTTTTTAATGTGTTTTGCAAACGAGAATTCGCCCAGAATTTATAGAAATTGAGGCGACCGTTTGAATAGGTGTGTCCCTTGAAATCCTTGCGTACATCTACTGGAGATGACTATTAAAAAAACGAACAGATGCACCTATTCAAAGACTTCTGAAAATAAAATTCTCTTTCGGGGACGTTGTCCTCGAGCCCCCCCCCCCCGACCTAACCGGACAGGTCGATCCCTATTGCACAGCGACAAACATTAGTCGGAGAGGCAAATCATTCGCAAAACAGAAATAAATACATACAAAATGATAAAAAATATCTAACATATACAACATAGACTGTGGAATATTTAAAAAATAAGAAATTATCAATATAAAATTTATTTTGTTCTCTTCTGTATACAAATAATCATAATGAGTGAAATGTGCAATTATTAAGAATTAACGTCTAAAAAAATTAACAGCGTGAAAGAATTAAAGAAGTGGTAACATGTACTTATTAATTTTGTCGAATTTCTTTTATTCTTTTCACACTCACGAAAAAGGGTAAAATATATCGGTTCGTGTTTTCTCACTCCCACATCCATATGTTCATTAGGATCAAAATCAAACCTCACAGTCACAGCGCTTGCAGATTGAGGGCATTCTGGAGGTAGATTCTGCCAAATATTTAGCCCATCGGTCAAATGGAGAGCAATTGCAAGCACAAAGTTGTAACATGCGTTTTATGCCTAAGTCAATTGATCTGTCACTGTGATTTCATTTCAATCATGCCCTCTGTCGTAAAAATGATCGGCATTTTTGAGTAGAGACCTAATATAACTTCTCTAAAAAGATTGGCATTTTTTTATAGGATTCGGATTGCGCATGAATGCTTATCCACCTTTACTTACTACCCCCATTGATAAACTCCTACCAGGTTTACCAATTCTAGAAGGACCCAGATGGATGGAGAAGAAGGTGCAACGACTAATTCTGTTATTATGGCAAGTTGTGGATGGTAAGTAGTTAGAAAGAATCTATAAATAAGGTGGCATCCAGCAGTAAAAAGGGAGGAATTGAGTGAGTGAAGTGAGATTTAGGAGAGAACAACCTTCTCGAAAGGATGCTTTTATCTTTTCTCTATTTCTTGTAATTTTCATTCAATCAAACAAAGTATATTTGCTGTCATATTTATTTGTTCATTGCAATTACAAGTGATACCTATCAAAATGGTATCCGAACAATCATTCTGGCCATGGGATAGCACATCTGAGGAAGAAAAACAATTAGAAGATCAAGTTAATCATTTGAAAACTAAGATCGATGTACTACAAGAAGAGTTTAGAGGAATAAAATTCGAATTTCAGAGAGCGATGTCTAAGATAATGAAGAAGCTCGATCTGATGATAAAAGAAGTGGGAAGACTGGAACGAGAGAGGCATGAAAAATGGATAATAGAAAAGTCTCTGAAACTCAACATCACTTAAAATTCCCCCCAATTTGGAGGAAACTGGAGTAAATAGCCGCATCACGCACCACTATGAAGAGCCGGACAGGAGGGAAAAGGAGGTCACGGTCACTTCGTCAGAACCCACCATTAATTTTGAAATCCTACCAAAAATTGAAGAAATCGAAGTGAGTTAAGAAGAACGGAATCACATGGAGGAATTAGGGAAGACATGGCGCTAAGTCGTCTACTAGAAATATCGATTCTGAGGTACTTGCAGCTCGATTGCTGACAAATTCTAAAGTGATGATGGAAGATGCTGTAATTAGTGGAGAAGATGAAGGAAAGGAAATGGGAAAAGTTCAAAATTCAGGTGTTAACTATGACACCATTCAATTCTCAGGTGTCAAGTTTAAAAATGCAGAACTCAGGTATTGACTAATTAATTAAATATATTTATTTTTTAAATGTAATAAGATCACAGTTGTACAATTAATGGTCAGAGGTATACAATTATAGGTCACAGATGATTTTATTGGTCACATATTATGTCGAGGTTACAAATAAAAAATTCTACAGGTTACAAATTGTTTCATTGGTTACAGATAAAAAAAATTATATGTCACAATTTATCTATCGATCACATATTTACAAATTTATTGGTCACAAATTATTTTTTAGTCATATATTATCGAATTTTAAGGTCACAATTGAATGGTCACAATTGAATAGTCACAAATTTTATGATCACAGTTTTATCCCACTCGGCCCCATCGTGACACCACGCACCACCACCCATAGATCCGCCATAGCTACTTGTAACCACCCTCATCCTATTACCGTCCCCAACACCACAACACCACCACCACCACCCGCACTACCACCACCACCATCATCAACCATCTCCACCATCACCACCAGCATCCTGTTCCAACAACCACCCACGTCACCACTATCACCCCCACCACCAACCATCCACTGCACCCAACCAAATCTGCAGCGCTCATGGAGAAACGTTGTCGGCGCACACTGCCAACGCCATGCCATCGCCGTCGCGAACACCCACGCACACCCAACCACGACTGCAGACTTATGCCATCGTCGTCACAATGTGCGGCGCAACTATGCACACCATGTTACCGCCGCCATCAGCCTTCGATTCCAGCAACGAACTCTCATCTTTTAGCACCGCCACCATCAGCTTCTGATTCCATGACATCAGCGACGCTGCAACGAACTCCCAAAGGCCTTCGATTCCAGTAGCGTCAGCCGAAGCAGCTTCTTCATCGTCGAATTTTGCCTCAGATTTTACGGTAGAGACAAGAGAAGAAGGACCAGTTTTAGAGAGAGAAAGTAATGGAGAGTTAGGGTTTGGGTGAAAAGAAAATTGATTTAAGTTTTATATTTATTGATACCTGATTTATGAATAATGAAAGTTTGCACCTGAATTTTGAATTGTATTATTTAAATCCCTGCTTTTGTGTAATTTCCTCAAAGGGGAAAAAATCACATATAAGGTGTTATGTTTACCTTAATTCAAAAATCAAGTAAATAATTTGAAAATTCAAAAATCAGGTATACATTTAATTAATTAAAAATATTTATTAAATAAAGATAATAAACTCACAGTTACATGATTAATGGTCGCAGATTCACAATTATAGGTCACAGTTTTATTTATTAGTCACATATCGTCAAATTAATTAATCACAGATTATTTCGCAGTCACAAATAAAAAAATTTGTAGGTCACATATTATTTCGAGATCACAGATCATTTAAATTACAAGTTACATTTTGGCTATGGGTCACATAGATCATAATTTATTGGTCACAAATTATTTTTTAGTCACAGACACCTAATATTTGATCACATATGCCTAAATAGATGGTCACAAAGCCTAATTGTTGATCACAGATCGACACCCCATTCATCTCCATCATCGCCACAGTGCAGCACCGTCAACTACCACACCATCGCCTGTACAGCACCACAGCTACCAACTCACTTAGCCATATCGCCACACTACACCACACCACGACCACACCATACAATACCACCAAATCTAACTCGCCAAACTACACCACACCACTCACAATGAGCGCTGCACCATTGTAGCGAAAAAACCCAAACATTGACCTTATAGGTACCGCAATCTAAAGTTGTGATTGTAGTGGCCGCAGTCGCATTGTTATCACCGTTGCAACGACGAGATCTGAAACTATTATAGTGCCATCATCTACAGCAGTCGAGTACACGCGGCATCCCCACCCAAAAAATCCCTAAAGCAGCAGCACGCACACTAGAAAAATCACCATCGTTACAGCACCGGAGCTCACGCCATGAGCAACGCCACCCAAAATTGGCATCACCATGACTACGGGGCTCAAATCGTCACGACGATTTGGAAGCGCCGCTCATATCAGGTCTGGCCGGCGCCGCTGCATTGCAGAAAACAAATGCCGGAGAGAAAATGGTTGTTGTCACTGTGTGTGTTTAGAGAGAGGAGAGAGAGACAAGAAATGGGTTTGAAATTAAGGTTTGAAATAGGTCGTTATATTTATTAATACTTGATTTGTGCATAAATAAACTTCGACCCTCAATTTTGAATTTGAAAGCTTAAGTACTTGATTTTATTTTATTTCCACTGTAATCAAGTCCAAGACGTAATGGGCCTAAATAAAGTGAAGTAGCCTATTACCAAGGTTACCCAATATGAAAAGCCAACTACCTTATTCATGATAATAGAAGAGGCAAGAGAAATAGTTTGGGAAATCAATGAAAATGGATTTGGATGGACAAGTGGCGACAAAATTGGATGGATTTTAATACCAACAATGATGTGGAGGTGGGTGATAATAGAAGAGGCAAGAGAAATAGTTTGGGAAATCAATGAAAATGGATTTGGATGGACAGGTGACGACAAAATTGGATGGATATTAATACCAACAATGATGTGGAGGTGGGTGATAGGTTAGGATTGTTAATTAATTCCATAATTGCAAAAGAAAAGAGGATCGCAGAGTTGATCAATGATAGGACTTTCCACCATTGTACACCAATTCGCCAGTTTCATTTGTTAGAAAACTCGCAAATGGCTGATTGAAATATTCATTTTCTGCTGAGTCGTGACAAGCATTGCAAAGGAAATAGTTCGGTTGTTTAGAATTTTGAGGACAAGGTGAACTTCCGAGGGGGGAGTGTTGATAAACTTCTACCAGGTTCACCAATTCTAAAAGGACCCAAAGGAATGGAGAAGAAAGTAAAGCAACTAATTCTATTATTATGAGAAGTTGTGGAGGGTAAGTAGCTAGAAAGAATCTATAATTAAAGTGGCATCTAGTAGTAAAAAGGGAGGAATTGAGCGAGGGAAGTGAAATTTAGGAGCCTCTCGAAAGGCTGCTTGTATCTTTTCTCTATTTTATGTATTTTTCATTCAATAAATATAAAGTATCTTCAAAAATATCGTTTGTACGGCATTTTTTTGACAGTAATTTTCACCCCTCCTCACAAAGGTGGGGTCCACGATTATTTTAATCGTGGATCCCACCCACTTGCATGTGTGTATGTTGTGAAAAAGGATGTAAAAATTGATGTACTTGTAGAATGGCTGTAATCGTGGACCCCACTCACTTGCATGTATGTATATTGTAAAAAAAGATATGAAAATTGATGTACTTGTAGAATTGTAGAATGGTTGTAAGTATCTTTGTTGTCATATTCATTGCAATTACAGGTGGTTCCCGTCACCGACGCCTTCTCTGTCTGTTCCAGTTGTTTCTTTTGAGCTGTGTTTTCTTGCCCTTTTCTTGAAGAATCAAAGTACATCTTTCCAAAAAGCAAATTGATTTTAATTATCAACTTATAACAACTGACAGGCACATAACTGTACAGAGAGAAGAAAAAATTTAACGCAGAAATAATCTGATAAAATACAATTTAACCTCCCCGATCCTTTTAACTGGAAAAGGCAACTACATAAACAGTAAAGGTGAAGCCTTTCATATGTTATTTGCTGATTTAAAGGGGACAGACATGGATCCAAGGACCCCTGTAATAATTGCACCCTCTTTCACTCTGCGTAACTGTAGTCTTCACCCTAAATCCTAAACCCAGAAAAAATGGACAAGATCAGGATTTTTCTTCTTGCTTGGCTTCACCTCCGATCCCAAAATGGTATGCTCCACACCTCTAAATTCTTCCATTTTTTGCATATTTTACTGGCCTATGATTTATTTATTTCTTGGAAATTTATTGTAAGAAAATTTTGTGGAGAAAGTAACGTGAAGTGATTGGAACTATTTTTTCAGTATTTTCTTCAAGAATTGTGTTTGAATTACGGCTGGAATTAGGTTGGGTTCTACAATTTGGAGTTTCACATGATTTTTAATATTTTATTTCTGTGTGAGTAAACGATTTCTGTTGATAAAATAATTTGATAATCATCGTGGAGAATATAACTGGATTTGACAAGCTATTTATGAGAGTGTTGAAAAGTTGAAATATTGGAACCCATGTAATAAAAATCTTGGAAAGTACATTTTTATTGGAGTTGTGATTTTATTGCGTGTATCAGGAACTGCATTCCCATTCTTGTGTCTTCGGCATATAACTCCCAGTTAATTTAGCTGATAATAATGAAAATTTTGCTGATAATAGTGAAATATTTGGGGGGAAAACGCTGTTAAAAAGAATTGTTTGTTTTTCGTGGAACTCCACAAAAATGTCATTTACACCTAAAAACAATAAAATTTGTGTGCAAAATCTAAAGGGAAATCTTTAGAGTATGCGAGGAAACATACATTAATTAAGCGCAAATACTATTCATGCATACAAGCACTGTCACCCTGTGTTTTGAAACTGGATTGGTAAAAATAGAAGCAATGATAAGAAAAGGCCCCGTCTTTGTTTATCAGAATACTTGAAAATTAGATTTTTACTCCACCCTATTTGAAGCTGTAATAGTATGTAAATTCTATAAAGTTGTGTGAATGTGTAATAGATAGGAATCTGAGGATGTGCCTTTTTTTTTTTTTTTCCTTCCAAAAAATTTTTGGATTCTGTTGAATTCATTTGTCAATTCCATGCAAAAGTTATTGGCTTCAAAATTATTGTGTTTCTTTTCGAAATATTTACTGATAGAAATACAAATGTGTTGAAATTCCACCAAGAAAAATAAAATGAATAGTCAGTTACTATTTCTTAATTTGTTTCCGGATTAAATTTTAGTTCTAGTTGATCAGAAATTATAACGATTCATGGGGAAAATGCATGTTTATGGAAGCATTAAACAATCATTGCAAATGCTGGTATCATATATAGCTCCCCATTATATAAAAACTCATTTTTAATCAACATTCTTTCAATAAAATAATTTTACACGTAAAACAAAAATATTTTCTACTTTTTAACCACACATTCTCCAAAAAATTACTATTACAAAACTTATTCTTTCAAAAATGGGGCTCAGACACATTGATAAAGAAGTTATAATTCAATTTGAGTGGTGACCTATAGTCATGTTAATTCTAGAATGGACAAAGTAACCCTTTTGTGTAATTTTCTAGACTTTTTGATTTTCTCATAATTCCTGTACACACCTTCATATAACTCTCAAGATGAACCAATCTAAAAAATGGAAGGATTGATTGCACATTAAAGATAGAATTGAGTATTCATTGATCAAATCATTAACTCCATAGTTTGATAGATCTTTTAGGTTCTTTAAAATATTGTAGGTCACGTAGCTACCAAAATGAATGCAGTCAATTATGTCTCTTATAGAAGTTGGTCAGCTACCTCTCATAGATAGGTAGGAACAAGGAAAGGGGTCGAATTTACCCTGACGGAAGCAAGATTAACAATACAGGTGATAAACAAAATCATACGAAAAGGGGGAATATGAAATGCTCGTAACAGATTAGTGGCTAATTCAGTAATTTGTATATAATTCCTTAATAACAATGTGTGTAGTAATTATTTTATTGAATTTGCTTCACTAATAGGATCACGATTAGACTTTGATCATTATTGATTGTAACCAAGAACGAGTCCTAGACAAGTGGATTTAATTTTCATAACCGGAACATTAACAATGAAAATGGCACGTACTCACTAAATTTACTGCCTGCCTTGGTCCTCTGCATTTTGTCAGTTCCAAGTTTTGAAGTTACATTCTTTTTTTCATTGTACAAGTACGTAAATTTCCTATTTCTTCAACATTCTGAAATTTCATATATGAGAAATTAGAAGCTTCTCATAAAGTTAGGTATATTAAGTGTGAAACCCTTCTTACACATTTACAATTGTAGAAGCTATAGCAGGAATTTAGAAGTTTGATTCATTATGTCCCGGAAAGAAGTGGACTATTATAGTTGACAAATGAATGCCCTAGTCTTCATATAAATTACAATATTGACATAGTATGGTGCTTAGGTTCATGCCGAGTAATTTTCAACGTATCGGAATACATTTTTCGTGCATACTAAATATAATAGAGAGAGAGAGAGTGTGTGTGTGTGTGTGTGTGTGTGTTGGAATCATAATATGATTGTAATTGCATGTATTTGATTTTGTAGAAATTAAAAGTATTTTCATGTTTTATTAACTGCTTGGATAAATTATTGTTTTAAGGTCCAGTATCTCTTGTGAAGCGCTTCTCGTACAAGGATCTAAAGAAGGCGACAGATGGGTTTAGAAGAACTACTGATAACTCTTCAAGAGGGAGTTCTTATAAGGCCAGATTTCAAAATGGTGTTGTTTCTACAATAAAAGAAGTCGAAGGTTTTAGTGAATGTGATGATGCCTCCTTCTATAGGGAAGTTCAGCTCTTGGGGCGATTGCACCACCGCCACATTGTTGCGCTTAGAGGTTTTTCTACTGGACCTAAGCGGTAAAAACTTGGACTGTTCCTCTTAACAAGATTAACTTTTTAAAATGAAATTCCAAGACTCAGTATGGTATTAGAGCCCAACATGCTCAAACAAGTAATCTGTTTGTCTAAAAGCTCAAAAGTGCATTGATTCGAAGAGTGTTGTTCTCCACCATCTCACGAGGCATGTTAAGAGTAAACACCACATCGGCTAAATATGACAACAATAGCTAACATTTAAGGGCATGGGCTGCTCTATTAACAAGTTTGACATTTTAAAATGAAAAATTGGCTGTTTTGGTCCTTTGGAACAACTCGATGAACTTAGTAGATCATTTTGGGAGGCCGTAGTTGTGGCGTCTATTGACTTTCTTATAATTTAAATATGCTATTTTGGGGCCCAAGATCTTATAGATGAGT